GTATTTTCATATCTCTTACTTTGTTATAGAATAAACGTATATAACAAAGCGTAAAAAAATATAACACAACAAACTTTGGGATAGGGTGAAATTACAAAATTTAGACATAATGATCCAATCGAACATGAAAGTAATTTTTAATTTTATTTTTACAATTTCAAGAAATTAAATGTTGAAATAGTAGTTCTTAAAAGTTACTTTTTCCTTCTACTAACAATTCTCAAAGCATGGCAAATTTTGATAATTTTCTAATTTAAAATAAAAAATTTTGGTAAATTCTTTTAAAGTTGGGGATTCCCAAATTACTCTTTAATGACATTCATATCGAATTACCAAGGGAGCACTCGTAACTGTTTGACCCTCGTACCCTGTGGTAATTATGGCCACGGTGGCAACAAAAAATTACAAAAGTCGTGGCATGTTGCTATTGGAAAAACCAGCGCAAAATCCACGTAATAAAGTCAATAAAAATTTTTAAAACTATTCATAAACAGAAAACACGACAGCCAAAGCCAATTCATTCAGTCTAAAAGAAAAAGAAAAAAGAATAATTTCCATTGCTCCAACAAAATATTACTAGTTGAATTTTGGAATAGTCGAAGTGGATCCAAGTTCTCCTCTGTAATGGCTGAAGAATCCGAAGCAACGTCGTCTACCTCACAGCCGAGTTCCTCCCCCGACACTGGAAAAAAATCCCAGGTTTTCCCCTTCAATTCATATATATATTTTGTTCAATTATTTTTCCAGACGATTCGATAGTTTCTTACTGCGTACTTGCACTTTTTTATATTATTTTTTTGTGAGATTGAGAATAAATTTTTGTTCAATTTTTTTTTTCTGTTACCTGAGAGCACTTTACGTCTTCTGGGGTTGAATTTTACTGAGCATGTATTAGCATAATTTTTTTTTGTTGTGTTGTTTCTTTGGACCATTAGTATTATTTATTTATTTTTATTTTTGTCAAGATGAATAATGGGTTTTGCGTTTTAGTGGATATAAAATGATGGGTTTAATTTATTTAATATGTAGGAATTTTTAGATCTGAGTTTGAGCTGTATGTTTTGGCAAATTATTGGCTGATGATGTCATAAATTAGAGTCAAGTGCACTTTTTTAAAATCCAATAACTTTGCTTATTATCATTACTGAAAATATTTAGATTTTCCAAATTAGATCAGTCTTTTGTCTGGCATTTCTTTTTCTTTTCCATAAATATTGTGGCTGTAGCTGATTGATTACTAAAAGGTTCGTGCTTTTCGAAATGGACTTGTTCTTTTTTATTCTGAGAGTTGCTCATCTTTTTTACAGATGAAGATGAACATATACTTCTCTTTATGTATTTGTGGAGTTGTGTGTAGATCATTATGTGGATATGAGTTTGATAGATGGGTAAAGAATGATTTAGAAGCTCTTTTGGGGGATGCTATACATTACAAGAAAGGGAAAAGGGGGTGAAGGGGATGGAGATTCCAGGCTTAGTTTCAAATGCTAAAGGATTTGCCCTAAAATTCATTGCACTTATAGCAGTGGAATTTACTGCTCATGAGGCAATTCATTGGGGGGACCATATTATTAGCTAAACCAGCTATAAACCTCGTTGTGTTAATACAAGTTTAGTGGTGAACTTTTGAAAACCAAGTGAATCTGTTTTATGTTTTCTCTTGAACTTTCAGCAAAGGCCGTCACACCTATTATGAAGTGTAGCATTAATTACTTAAAGAAAGGAAAGAAAGAAAGATTGTTTGCTGTCTTCTTTGCTTGGAATTCTATGCTTCTTACCTATGCTACTAGGGAAATACATTCCTTCATTTGCTTGGCCGTCAGCAGCAAAAATTTCCTATTTCTATTATTGCAGTACTGCTCACTCAAATGCATAATCTTAGATTTATAAACCCACATTCTAAGCCTAGTTTCTTGAGTATCTTTGTTATTTATTCTTTTTGTTCTTCCTATTTGAGCTGAAGCTTTGTTTCTGCTCTTTTTACCAGTATATTTTACTTTTGATTTTTTATCTTTAGCTTTTGGATTCAAAGTAGTTGTAAAAACAGCCTTCATTTTGTTATGGCTGGGGAAAACACAGTGCTTGGTGAACTTGGATCAAGCATTCGTTTTGTTATGTCTTTGGAGAACAAACTGAATACTGGAATTGTACAAGCATTAGTTGATTTCTGCCTGGCTTATTTCATGTTAAAATAGGGAAGCATATGTACAAACCTTTTTTTTATGCGTCATGCTGCCTATGGGTTATGTGGGCAGTTATGATCAATTTTGAGATAACGGGAATTTTGCCATCATTGGTGTTAGGAAGTGCTTGATAAATGGCACCTTGCAGTGCTAAAGGTTTTCAACTGAAGAGATGCACCATTTTGTGCATTGCAGTCATCTAGTAGCTAAATAGGATGCTTGAGCGTTTAGAGCTTTTATGTCTTAAGAGAGATTTCATTCATCACATAATTTAGAAAGTCTTTCTTCCCCTAATAATTTCCTGCTAAATGATAGAAGAGTCTAAATTGGACAATGGAATCTACACTAAATTCAGCTTGTTCCATGTGTTGTCCTATTTGGTGATTTGGTGACTACTAAAAATCAGTTTTAAGTAGTCTGTAGAAAACTTTATTTCTTTCTTTTAAAAAAAAATTGGTATTTTGGAAAAAGAGAAAGAGTTTTTTTTTTTTTTTTGTGTGTCTGGATGAGAGTTCTGTAATTATTATTCTTGACTATCCTTTTGTGTTGGCAACTCCTTTTCTTCATTCTCAGTTTCTTTATGGCTTTTTTGTTGCAGGTTCCAGGATATTCTGGTCTTGCAGCTTTTCAAAATGGTGATTTGCAGATGTTTCCAGTTATGTATCCTGCAATTATCCCAGGTTTAACTTCATTACAAAATCAGGAACAGACAAACCGTGGAGCAGGCATTTATGCTGTGCCAGTTCTACCCTTTATGGGGCATATTGCTGGACTCCCATCTAATACTCTCATTCCTCTGACCTATAATATACCTACGTAAGTAAATCTGTGGTTTTGTAAAATTGTGTATTTCATCTGCCTACTATTAGATGAAGATGCCCTTAGTTAAATAATCACTTGTCATGCCATTGTAGTAGCTGAGAGTATTCCTAGGTGATATGTGAAATAATTTATTTAACCAATCAATTTCTAGCACCAAAGTTTGGTCTTCAGTTCATCTGATTGAGCGTGAAAAAAGAATTTGAAATGGCAGTTATGTTGATTGGTTATTTTTTTAAAAAAGTTCCTTGCACAAACCAGTCAAATTAATCTATGTATAGAAGAATGTACTTGTTTATAATTCAGTTTAGGCAAATATTTAAGTCTTTTTGGATTCATATTTTCTCATATCTTTGTTCTTCCATAGATTCATAATTGCAATCTGGTAACTCGCTTTTTCCTGCCACTATAACCTGGTCATTTCCTTTTCTTCTTGTCACCACTAATCAGCACCGATCACAAACTTCTGAGGCACCACTAATCAGTGTCATTTCATTATTTTCTATATCATTTACTTCCCTACTTTTGGTTTGATCGTATCTTGCAAGCAGGTTTTTTCTTCTTTTTTTCTGTTAAAGAAACAAAAATAGGAATACATTCAATTTTTGGGAGGGGGATTTCTGCCATTTTAGAAAGAGAAGGAATTTGTTAACTTGCAAAAATAGATATGCTATCTTGTGTCTGCATGCTGTTTCTAACTTATGTTTTCGGCTACTATTGCTGAAAAATATGTATTTCCTAATTTTTTTCCTGAAATCTTGAATTGAATTTAACTTTTAATAGACTTTC